TCCATTCTTCTTCTTCTTCTGCTTCTTCTTCTTCTTCTTCTTCTTCTTCTTCTTCTTCTTCTTCTTCTTCTTCTTCTTCTTCTTCTTCTTCTTCTTCTTCTTCTTCTTCTTCTTCTTCTTCTTCTTCTTCTTCTTATTATTATTATTATTATTATTATTATTATTATTATTATTATTATTACCATCATTATCTTGACTGTCATCAATTTTTCCATTTTTTCTTTTCATAGTATCTGTAATTTCTGTCCTTTCATCCAGTAATTCCAGTAATTCTGATCCTTTCATCCCACTCAGAAGGATAAATGATTAAATTCCCAGTTCTCACACCCATCCCTCCCTTCTATCGTTGCTAGAGGAGAGAAGGACTGAGGTTCTCACAGCTATCCCTCTCATCTATCCCTGCCAGAGGAGAGAGAGGCTAGTGGTAGTCTGGTCACTGCTGGTGCTGTGTCTGCCATTCCTGCCAGCTACTAACGTCTTCTTTAGAGTGGGATTTGTTGTGGCAGAGCGACTTCTGTACATCCCCAGGTGAGCACTTACCACCACTTACTGACGAGATACCAGACACTTGGTAAGCAGATTCCAGCTGCTTGGTAAGCAGACACCAGCTACTTGGTAACAGACACCAGCTACTTGGTAAACAGACACCAGCCCCTTGGTAAGCAGACACCAGACACTTGGTAAGCAGACACCAGACACTTGGTAAGCAGACACCAGACACTTGGTAAGCAGACACCAGACACTTGGTAAGCAGACACCAGACACTTGGTAAGCAGACACCAGACACTTGTATTAATTTAGAGCATCAGGCGCATATAATAGGAAGGGCACTGCAATGGATCAGAGAATACCTGACAGGGAGGCAACAACGAGTCATGATACGTAATGATGTATCACAGTGGGCACCTGTGACGAGCGGGGTCCCACAGGGGTCGGTCCTAGGACCAGTGCTGTTTTTGGTATATGTGAACGACGTGATGGAAGGGTTAGACTCAGAAGTGTCCCTGTTTGCAGATGATGTGAAGTTAATGAGGAGATTTAAATCAGATGAGGACCAGGCAGGACTTCAAAGAGACCTGGACAGACTGGACACCTGGTCCAGCAAATGGCTTCTCGAATTTAATCCTGCCAAATGCAAAGTCATGAAGATAGGGGAAGGGTACAGAAGACCACAGACAGAGTATAGGCTAGGTGGCCAAAGACTGCAAACCTCACTCAAGGAGAAAGATCTTGGGGTGAGTATAACACCGAGCATGTCTCCGGAAGCAAACATCAACCAGATAACTGCTACAGCATATGGGCGCCTGGCAAACCTGAGAACAGCATTCCGATACCTTAGTAAGGAATCGTTCACGACACTGTACACCGTGTATGTCAGGCCCATACTGGAGTATGCAGCACCTGTTTGGAACCCGCACTTGATAAAGCACGTCAGGAAACTAGAGAAAGTACAAAGGTTTGCGACAAGGTTAGTTCCAGAGCTAAGGGGAATGTCATATGAAGAAAGATAATGGGAAATCTGTCTGACGACACTGGAGGACAGGAGGGTCAAAGGAGACATGATAACGACATATAAAATACTGCGTGGAATAGACAAGGTGGACAAAGACAGGATGTTCCAGGGAGGGGACACAGAAACAAGAGGCCACAATTGGAAGTTGAAGACACAAATGAGTCAGAGAGATATTAGGAAGTATTTCTTCAGTCATAGAGTTGTAAGGCAGTGGAATAGCCTAGAAAATGACGTAGTGGATGCAGGAACCATACACAGTTTTAAGACGAGGTTTGATAAAGCTCATGGAGCGGGGAGAGAGAGGGCCCAGTAGCAACCGGTGAAGAGGAGGGCCCAGGAGCTATGACTCGACCCCTGCAACCACAAACAGGCGAGTACAAATAGGTGAGTACACACACACACACACACACACACACACACAACACACATCATTCAGTTAAAAATACAGCTGAAAGCCAAGTTTCATTTCCATGTAACAGAAGAAAGGGAAAGAGAGAAATAGGATGGGATGGGAGGGGAGGGGGACGAGGAGGGGAGGGGAGGGGAGGGGGACGAGGAGGAGAGGGGAGGGGAGGGGGACGAGGAGGGGAGGGGAGGGGAGGGGAGGGGAGGGGAGGGGACGAGGAGGGGAGGGGAGGGGAGGGGAACGAGGAGGGGAGGGGCGGGGAGGGGGAAAGAGGCAAATTAAAGAGGTGAATCATAGTGTCGGTTTTAACCAGCGGAGGTAAGAGGATTTACTGAATATTTCTTCTAAGTTGTCGAGGTTTAAAGAGGAGAATAAGATAACCCATCCATTAAGACTCTTCTTACCTTCCACTGCCAAAACATTAACGCCCTCCCCTGCTCTTTTTCTTTCTCTTCTTCCTCCTCTTCCTCCTCCTACTTCTCCTTCTCCTCTTCCTCCTCCTCCTTCTCCTCTTCCTCCTCCTCCTTCTCCTCTTCCTACTCCTCCTTCTCCTCTTCCTCCTCCTCCTTCTTCTCTTCCTCCTCCTCCTCCTTCTCCTCTTCCTCCTCCTCCTCCTCCTCCTTTTCTCGAGACGGGAAAAAGACGAGATTTTGATTAAATTAAACCAAATAATTCATGCTAGGCGCTAAACCCATGTGGGTGATACAACGCAAGACGTAGTGGAGGCTCGATCCTCCGTCTGGTGAGCGCTAGACACACGAACTTCCTGTCTCCACTCACCCAGATCCAACACCCTGAAGATGTAAAGAAAATAAAGAAAGTTTGTGAGAGGGAGAGACAAATTACAGCTTAAATTACAATGGTAAAAATCACCAGATTTTGTCTTCCTTTAGATAATTACCTTATTATTTTCTCCGCTAAATTATCGTTGAATTATCTTTGATAAGTACTCACTTTATACTATAATTAATAATTGTAGGTTAATTTGTTTTGATTAATAATTATTCATGAATTTCTTTGTTTATACAAATAATTATATTTAACTTCATTAATAATAATTCAAGAATTACTTTGGGTTGATTAATTATTATTGTTATTATTTTTAATAATAATTCAAGAATTACTTTGATTTGATAAATAAGTATTGAGTTACTTTGGTTTTTATTAATAATAATTATAGAATAACTTAATTTTGATTGATGATTATAGTTACTTTGTACTGATTAATAAGTAAAAAGTTACTTATACTTTTCATCAGTCTAGGCTCACTTAACATTCGTAGGCCTATAGGCCTAGGGCAATGTGCCCATATTTCTCATTAATCTAGACTCACTTTATATTTTTCGGGCCTATAACTCTTTCCGTAGGCCTAGGGTAGTGTGCCTGTAGTGCCCAGTGGGTAATGTAGGCGTGTGTTGTGCCCACAGCTTCGGTTGGTGCGCGCTAGTGGGCGTGGGTGCGGCGAGGGTGGCGCGGGTGGTGCCAGGTCGTGGGTGGAGGTACTTGTTCTTGGCACTGCTGTTGGCACTCTGTCTCAAGACTGCTAGAAGGAACCTCGACTGGCACTCCAGGGAGACCTTGTTCACGTGAGTGTTTTGGTGTGTGTATGTGTGTGTGTGTGTGTGTGTGTGTGTGTGTGTGTGTGTGTGTGTGTGTGTGTGTGTGTGTGTGTGTGTGTGTGTGTGTGTGTGTGTGTGTATGTGTGTGTGTGTGTGTGGTGTTGTGTGTGGTGTGTGTGTGTGTGTGTGTGTGTGTGTGTGTGTGTGTGTGTGTGTGTGTGTGTGTGTGTGTGTGTGTCGGGTCTACGCACTCTCCCTCACACTCTCTCCCTCACACAGGTCGGGTCTACGCACTCTCCCTCACAACGCTAAGATGCACTACAACTACGCCAACCTACAGAGAGATTTACACAACTACGACAGTGCTATCATCCACTACAGAGAAGCTATCAGGTGGGTGAAGGATAAATCTATCTACCTGTCTATATACCTACTTACATACCTACCTATCTACCTACCTACCATTGTATCTGCCTACCTACATATTTACATACCTACCTACCTTTCTATCTACTTGCATACATACCTACCTATCTACCTACCTATTTTCCCACCTGCCTATCTACAAATCTATTTGCTTATCTACCTAGGTCATTACTTTCATGTCTATCTGTTTATCGTCACTAGCTTATCCACTATCACCACCACCACAATCACCACCATTATCACCCCCAGCCCCATCCCCTCCTCCACCTCCACCACCATCTACCGCTCCTAACAACCTTACCAGCCACTGTCTCCTTCACCACCACCATCTACTACCCCCATCAACAACCTCACCTACCACTATCTCCGTCAACACCACCATCTACTACCCCCATCAACAACCTTACCAGCCACTGTCTCCTTCACCACCACCATCTACTACCCCCATCAACAACCTCACTACCACTATCTCCGTCAACACCACCATCTACTACCCCCATCAACAACCTTACCAGCCACTGTCTCCTTCACCACCACAATCTACTACCCCCATCAACAACCTCACCTACCACTGTCTCCTTCACCACCACCATCTACTACCCCCATCAACAACCTCACCTACCACTATCTCCGACTCAGGTTGTGGTGGTGCTATCCCAGTGCCCACAACAACCTTGGCACTTTACTACTTCAGCGCCAGCAGGAACAGCAAGCAGAGTGGCACTTCTCCCTGGCACTGCAACATCATCCTGGCCACCCACACGCGGCCCTCAACCTGGCCACACTCTGGGGGTGAGTACCAGAGGTTCACCCCTTTGGGTTGACCTTCTACACCTTACATATTGGGTTTAAATGCTATGGGCTTTATATTTTGGGTTTAACTGCGAGAGATTTACATATTAGGTTTTTTCGGTTGGGTTTAATTGCTGTGAATATACATTTTGGGTTGATATATTTTTTAAATCTATATCTAATTTTTGTGTATGATGGGTTGACCTATTATAATAATGGGTTGATCTATTAGCATAATGGGTTGACTTATTAGCATAATGAGTAGACCTATTAACATAATAGGTTGACTTATTAGCATAATGAGTAGACCTATTAACATAATAGGTTGACTTATTAGCATAATGAGTAGATCTATTAACATAATAGGTTGACTTATTAGCATAATGAGTAGACCTATTAACATAATAGGTTGACTTATTAGCATAATGAGTAGACCTATTAACATAATAGGTTGACTTATTAGCATAATGAGTAGACCTATTAACATAATAGGTTGACTTATTAGCATAATGAGTAGATCTATTAACATAATAGGTTGACTTATTAGCATAATGAGTAGATCTATTAACATAATAGGTTGACTTATTAGCATAATGAGTAGACCTATTAACATAATAGGTTGACTTATTAGCATAATGGGTTGACCTATTAGCACGATGATCTTTTAGCTCAGTGACACATACGGGTTTCGAACTTTGCATAAATAATAATTTTAATATTAATATTAATAATAAAAACATAAATAATAAAATTAATAAGAATAATGCTAACAATAAAATAATAATAATAATAATAATAATAATAATAATAATAATAATAATAATAATAATAATAATAATAATAATAATAATAATAATAATAATAATAATAATAATTTGGATTAGTTAAAAAGTTTTGTCCACTGCAGATTAGCAAGACGATACTAACAACGAAGTCTTGTATTTTCTCTCTCTCTCTCTCTCTCTCTCTCTCTCTCTCTCTCTCTCTCTCTCTCTCCTCTCCTCTCTCTCTCTCTCTCTCTCTCTCCTCTCCTCTCTCTCTCTCTCTCTCTCTCCCTCTCTCTCTCTCTCTCTCTCTCTCTCTCTCTCTCTCTCTCTCTCTCTCTCTCTTCTCTCTTCTCTCTCTCTCTCTCTCTCTCTCTCTCTCTCTCTCTCCTCTCTCTCTCTCTCTCTCTCTCTCTCTCTCTCTCTCTCTCTCTCTCTCTCTCTCTCCAGACGTCAGGGGCGCATCCATCAAGCTGTCTCTCTCTTGGAATCGATCTTTCTCCCCGACGAAGATGAGGAAGAAGAGGAAGAAGATGACGAGGAAGAGGACGAGAGTGAAAGGGAGGAAGAACAGGAGGAAGAAGAGGCGAAAGAGGAAGAGGAGGAAGAGGAGGAGGAGGAAGAGGAGGAGGAGGAGGAGGAGGAGGAGGAGGAAGGAGCCACGGCAGGTACAGGTCGTCTCCTGGCTGACCTCTACGTGAGGGAGGGACGGACGCAAGAGGCTGAGAGCATCTATCTGGCTCTCATCTCAGCTCGACCTACTGATCCCACGGTGATGGCCGACTATGCTGCCTTCCTACACAAGCAAGGTGTGCGTCTGTGTGTGTACTCACATATTAGTCTTTGCAGGGGTCTAGTCGCAGCTCCTGGCCCAGCCTCATCGCTGGTTGCTACTAGGTCCACTTTCTCCCTCCTTAATGAGTTTTATCGTGTGTGTGTGTGTGTGTGTGTGTGTGTGTGTGTGTGTGTGTGTGTGTGTGTGTGTGTGTGTGTGTGTGTGGTGTGTGTGTGTGTGTGACATATATTAGCATACCAATGCTATGAAAGATAAAGTCCATAATAACTTACCCACAATACCCTAGCAAGAACCATCCACAACTTACCCACAATACCCTATCAAGAACCATCCACAACTTACCCACAATACCCTATCAAGAACCATCCACAACTTACCCACAATACCATAGCAAGAACCATCCACAACTTACCCACAATATCCTAGCAAGAACCCTCCACAACTTACCACAATACCATAGCAAGAACCATCCACAACTTACCCACAATATCCTAGCAAGAACCCTCCACAACTTACCACAATACCATAGCAAGAACCATCCACAACTTACCCACAATATCCTAGCAAGAACCATCCACAACTTACCCACAATACCCTAGCAAGAACCATCCACAACTTACCCACAATATCCTAGCAAGAACCATCCACAACTTACCCACAATACCCTAGCAAGAACCATCCACAACTTACCCACAATACCCTAGCAAGAACCATCCACAACTTACCCACAATATCCTAGCAAGAACCATCCACAACTTACCCACAATACCCTAGCAAGAACCATCCACAACTTACCCACAATACCCTAGCAAGAACCATCCACAACTTACCCACAATACCCTAGCAAGAACCATCCACAACTTACCCACAATACCCTAGCAAGAACCATCCACAACTTACCCACAATACCCTAGCAAGAACCATGCACAACTTACCCACAAATTTGGTAAACAATTATAGATAAAATTTTGAACCATCTTCAACCATTGTAAATAACTTATTCATGGTTCAGGAGGGCGAAACGTCGTCTAGGGATTTAGATCTTGTTACTGTGTTTCTTTCGTGTTTAAACCTGAAGTTAATATATTGTACGTTTCTTTCTCCTTATCCATCTTTCTCGTATTCTATGCGTCACCTTGTTCCCTATCCTTCTATCCACTGTTTTCACCTTCTCTCTCCTCTTCTTCTATCCTCTCTTTCTCTCTTTCCTCCCCCTCTCTCTTTCTATTAGTGCCTCTCCCCGGTTTCATTCTCTCCCTCTCCTTCTACCCCTCTCCTTCTCTCCCTTTCTTTCAACCCTCCCTATCCCCGCTCAGGTCGGACGGAGCGAGCAGCCACCCACTACGAGGCCGCCCTCAACCTGGATCCCACCCACGCCCGCACTCTGGCTAACTACGCCGCCCTCATGGACGCCCACCACCACCATACCCACGCCCACCATCTCTACTCCAGGTACTGCACTCTCTCTCTCTCTCTCTCTCTCTCTCTCTCAACATGAAATACTAAAATAATTCAGAGTGAAACATGACTTGAAACTCTACACAGAGTGAAACATGACTTGAAACTCTACACAGAGTGAAACATGACATAAAGCTCTACAGAGAGGGGAGCTTGTGTTTCAGAGGTAACAGTGTATTCTTGTGTGTGACACAGAGCTCTGGCGTGCAGGTGGGACGCTGACACAGCCACAGCTCTGGCTCGTCTCTGTATCTTGACAGGGCAGCTGGAACAAGCCACCACCTTGTTACAGCTGGTCACTGCTCGACACCCCGAGCATCAGAGGGCCCGTGTCCATCTGGTTAGTACATGGTCCTCCTAGTACCTGTACCTCCTAGTACTTCACCTTCCTAGTACTTGGTCTTCCTAGTACCTCACCCTCCTAGTACCTGGTCTTCCTAGTACCTCACCCTCCTAGCACCTGGTCCTCCTAGTACCTGATCCTCCTTGTACCTGATCCTTCTAGTACCTGATCCTCCTAGTACCTGTTCTTTCTAGTACCTGGTCTTCCTAATACCTGCTCATTCTAATTCCTAGTTTAAGTCAGATGGTACATACATGTATAGTATTCAGTACCGACAAGATAAAGATTTAGACTTATGTGCAACATCTTGGAATCTTTATTGTAGACGTTTCGCCCTCCAGTGGCTTTATACAGCTCTACTGTCTTCCAGTTATGTCCTTGAAGTTGTACTGATAAAGCCAGTGGATGGCGAAACGTCTACAATAAAGTTAGCCACATGTTGCACACGTGTCTAATTCTTTATCAGTCAGCGGGATACCTGTGGTGTTGGTGCTGCTCACCGCTTCTCTGGTTCTGTTTGCTGCTGTTGTGGAGGTGCTGTTCATTGTTGTGTTGGTACTGTTCCTTCCTGTGGTTCTGTTTGCTGTTCTGGTTTTCCTCCACTGTTGTTGATGCTGTTCTGTGTTGTTGTCTCCTCCCGCAGGCGCAGGTCAAACTCCAGCAGAAAGAGTACTCAGCCAGCGAGCAGCTGCTGGGGGAGGTGTTGGAGGAATCTCCAACACACCACGAGGCTCTCTACCACTTCTCCCTCTTGCTCTCCGCGACCAATCGCTCGGAGGAGGCGCTGAGGGCGGCGCGGGCGGCGGCGTCGGCCTGTACACAACCCAGGGATCTTTGTGCTCTCCTGCACGCCCATCATGCTGACTTACTACACACCCACAGCCGTATGGACGCTGCTGTACTGGTGCGTACATTACTGAGAGAGAGAGAGAGAGAGAGAGAGGAGAGAGAGAAACAGACAGACAGTCAGACAGAGAAAAGCATCATGGGTAATAATTTATTGACGAATATTTGTTTTGATTCTCGTATATTTAATTTTCAATCTCTCTCTCTCTCTCTCTCTCTTACTCTGTCTATTTCATTTTCCTATGTGCCTGTTACCCACCTCTTTAACTTCTAGTACACAATAATATATACATATATTATATATATATATATATATATATATAATTATATATATATATATATATATATATATATATATATATATATATAAGAGAGAGAGAGAGAGAGAGAGAGAGAGAGAGAGAGATAATTTGTTCTGTAAAATTACTCTCAACATTTTATCAGTATGAAATATAAACTATGAGAAAACTAACTTTTTTCTAACTAGATTAAACACTACCAACATTAATACTAAAGTATAACGTGACGTTAATCTAATTTGCCGGTGACAAACTGGAGAAAAACTCTCTGGCCTGTGCTTGTCACATTTCCTCCATGATATTACAGCGAAATGTCAGAGCAAATGTTTCACTGTTTCACTCTATAAGTGCTCTATCTCTCTCTCTCTCTCTCTCTCTCTCTCTCTATTTTAAATCTTTTACAGAGCAGATAGAGATCTTCCCCGTTTTCAGCATCTCATCTCCAGTACTTTGTAACTAAGTTATTTCATGATCTCTCTCTCACAGAGCTACCAGCAAGCTGTCAGGATGGAACCGTCTCTGTCTAGAGCTCATCTCAACCTTGGAGCTATCTATCATACCCAAGTAGGTGACTTAATTATACCCAGGTAGATAAATCTATCATTTCCAAATAGGTGAAGCTATCATACCAGAGTAGATGAGTATATCATACCCAGGTAGGTGAATCAGTGGTGCCCAGGTGAGTGAATCAATCATACGCAGGTTAATGAGTCTATCATACCCAGGTAGGTGAATCAGTGGTGCCCAGGTGAGTGAATCAGTCATACGCAGGTTAATGAATATATCATACCCAGGGTGGTGAATCAGTGGCGCCCAGGTGAGTGAATCAATCATACTCAGGTTGGTGAATTTATCTCAGCTAAGTGGGTTTCAGGTGAGTTTTTTAATTATGAAATACGTATGTATATCACAGTTTACTTTTTTCACTGTTAATGTCTATCATCGTTTATGTCTTTCACTGTTTTTTTTTATTTTTTCATCTGTTTTAGTTTCTAACAGTGACTAAATCTCTCACTCTTGTTCTCTGAATTTCTCTTCCTGATTTCTTGCAGTGATTCTTCGTGATTCTCTCAGTATCTCTTTCATACTGTCTGAATCTGTCTCTCTGACATTTTTAGTGGCTTTCTCTATCTCTCTCTCGCCTATATTATCTCCCTCAATCAGCAATCTCTCTCAAACACTCCAGTCTCCCACTCCATATTATCAATGATCCTCTTTCCCTCTCACAATCTCTTTCACACAATATCTCTCCTAACTCTTAGATTCTGTATCTCTCTCTCTCTTTCACCCATACAGTCTCCCTAACGTTCTGTCTCACTCTCCCAATTTATCTCCCCTACATCTCTGTCTCCTCCCACCCCTCACGATCTCCTCACTGAGTATTGCTCTCTCTTCGTTAGGGCCGCTACAGCTGGTTTGCTGCAACACTACAACACCGCCTGTCACAGTACCCCACCAACACCCTCCTGCAAGGGAAACTTGCAGAGGACGTCTACTGCTGATAGGACGCTTTTTTCCTACTGACCGTGAGTACGCTCCCTCCCTATAACGGGAAACACCACCATATCCCCCTGTATGCAGATTACTGCAGAGCTATTGCGAGCTATCAACGAATTACTTTCCACGGCGGATGATAACGCCTCAAATTCTCTATCAGGATGACACAAGAAAACGTTAGAACTCTGAGACAGACAATCTGCAGTTGATAACACTCGAAGTAGGTAGGTAGAAAACATGCAGCCAAAAGATCTTTTCTTTTTAGCTGCAACATTTCGCTAACATGAGGGACGTCGATTAGGCCGAAACATGTACTAATAGGGGTCATGGTTTTGCTGTGGTGCATCCTTGACGTTGTGAGGGGCTGCTCCATAATCACCTAAAGAGGCAGCAAAGACGAACATTTGGTAACTTTGAGGAGGGTTTCGCCTAATAAAGTTATCCTTTGCTAGTCTTTATAAGTAAAGGGTGAGTAGGCCGATCACCTACTGCTAAGTGGAGGGAACGACAGTTTTAGCTGTTTAGCTCACGGAGGAAGCGCTAAGATATTATGGCCGGTGAGCAGCTTCTTAGGAATGGGAAGAATTAGGCTTGATCCGAGGAAGGGAAAGATAGCTCAAATTAGTGAATCAAGGATAACGTGAAGCTGATTTCAGCTTAGGAATAGTACTGAAGGTTAGAAGGAACTTCAGCGTGATCAATAGACACGTTCGAGAGGAAGGGAAGGGTGAGAACGGAGGTGAGAAGGGAGGGAAGGGTAGAAAGGAGGAAAATGGTGAGAAGGGAGGGAAGAGTGAGAAGAGGAAGAAGGGAAGGGTGAGAAGGGAGGGAAGGGTTGGAAGAGAGGGAAGGGTGAGAAGGGACGGAAGGGTGTAGAAGGGAGGGAAGGGTGTGAAGGGAGGGAAGGGTGAGAAGGGAGGGAAGGGTGAGAAGGGACGGAAGGGTGAGAAGGGAGGGTAAGGGTGAGAAGGGAGGGAAGGGTGTGAAGGGAGGGAAGGGTGTGAGAGGGAGGGAAGGGTGAGAAGGGAGGGAAGGGTGTGAAGGGAGGGAAGGGTGAGAAGGGACGGAAGGGTGAGAAGGGAGGGAAGGGTGTGAAGGGAGGGAAGGGTGTGAAGGGAGGGAAGGGTGAGAAGGGGTGCTTATAGGCAGGAGATGTATATTGTAGGTAGACTGGATGGTTGTCTTGCGAATGACTTCGGGTCGATGAGCAGACGTATTGTGTTGTACATCTCTGCTATTTCGCTCTCCTTGCTCGAAACGTTGTTGTAATGAAGTGATGCACTCCTTCCTGCGTCTCTTCATACGCTCTATAGTTGTCTGTCTCTGCCACCTGTCTGCTGCTGCTGTTGCTGCTGTTGCTGCTGTTGCTGGTGCTGCTGCTGCTGCTGCTGCCTCGCCAAGGATGGCACTGTCTTGTGCGCCTTTGCTTCCTCCTCCTCATCAGTATTATCATATTTCTTATTATTGTTCTTTTTCTTCTTTTCGCTCCCTACTGCCAGTATTGCTTGCCTTATGACATTATATTGCCTGCAGTTGAGATCCTCTCACGAGCGGATTTACAAACAGCAGACAAGCATGCTAAAGCAGACATAGCAAGCAGAATGCCAAAGCAGAAAGCAAAAATTCAGTCAGCAGACCAGCATATTAAAATAAACAGAGGACGCAGCAGTCACAAGCAAGCAGAACACGAAGTACTCAGAAGTATAGAGAACAAGCAGTCGCTTATTCTGCTTATGTTCTGCTTATGTATCACCACAGACAAGGGAATGCAGACTGCAGACCACAACAAGAACATTGACTGGTGTGCAAATACCTATGGAAATAAATTTTCCAGTACAGAGGCGTGAATCCTGTGTCACCATTAAAAAGCATCATTAAACCGGTTCACCAATCCTACTCTGTATGATCTGGTCACTGGGGATCTCCTGATAAATCCAGCACCTTCACAGCCCCTGAATGACACTGTCAGGAAAATTCTGACAGCTATGCTGACACTGGGAAACAGTGTGTCTGATGAAGTTTCTTGAGTATTATCCATGACCTTAGAGAAGCGCCTTTGCAGTGCCTCTGTACCTGTAATGAAGCCAAGAGACTCCGTGGATATTTATCAAGAAGTATAAGTAACAGAAGTTTTTGGCTTTATATCCAGAAGTATAAGTACCAGAAGTCCTTGATTTATATCAAGAAGTATAAGTACCAGAAGTCCTTGATTTATATCAAGAAGTATAAGTACCAGACGTCCTTGATTTATATCAAGAAGTATAAGTACCAGAAGTCCTTGATTTATATCAAGAAGTGTAAGTACCAGAAGTCGTTGAATTTATATCAAGAAGTATAAATAACAGAAATCCTTGGATTTATATCAAGTATAAACAGCATAAGTGGCAAGGTTAATCAACAGTTGTACACATCATTAGCTAAGCCTGATTTAGGTTGAGGCTCGAACTGATGGTTCTCGCTACAACTCAATAGGCAGACACAAACACAGTACACAAAACCATTATAAAGAGGAGCAGTAGGCTTATTGGCCCATACACGACAGACTCCACTCAACAGATAAGTAAAAACAAGGACACTTACACAGAAAACAGACATAAAACAGACAAAAATTCTCCCAGGTCAACTAATCCACTAAACAAAAAATAACTAACATAAATCTGGTTACCCAGGGAGGTGATGACCTGTCGTGACCTCTGATAATACTTTTTTTTGTGGTGCGACTCATAAACAAGAACAACAACATGCACCTCACAGCCTCTCCTGCCTCACCTCCTCTCCTGCCTCACCTCCTCTCCTGCCTCACCTCCTCTCCTGCCTCACCTCCTCTCCTGCCTCACCTCCTCTCCTGCCTCACCTCCTCTCCTGCCTCACCTCCTCTCCTGCCTCACCTCCTCTCCTGCCTCACCTCCTCTCCTGCCTCACCTCCTCTCCTGCCTCACCTCCTCTCCTGCCTCACCTCCTCTCCGTCTTGTATATATCACAACAATATCATTTTGCAAGTAGGCATAATATTATATATATTATATATATATTATATATATATATATATATATATATATATATATATATAATATATATATATATATATATATATATATATATATATATATATATATATATATATATATATATATATATATATATATATATATATATGAAAACACGCATCATCACACACCCACTGCATGTACATAAGTGTCAATCTTTAAGTTTTCCCTTCCCAGTAAACGCCCTTACAGACTATCTTACGTCATTCTAGTCATCTTACAGATCTTAGCTAAACGCTGGAAAAGAAATAAAAAGAGCAGTGAGAACTATCTCTCTTTTCCACCTATCAACCTTTTTTTCCTGGTTTTTCCCTCTTTCCCTCTCCACGTAATGTCCCCCCCCCCCTTAGTTCTAATATTTCCGCACTGCGTCGAACTCTGTGTAAAAAGTATCTGAGTGTGTGTAACCGCTGTGTAGCGCTGTGTAAATAGTGTGTAACGCTGTGTAGCGCTGTGTAAATAGTGTGTAACGTTGTGTAACGCTGTGTAAATAGTGTGTAACGCTGTGTCTCTGCGTTCATCACTGTAGTTAACGAAGGAATTATTTTCGTACCACGCATTAAAGTTGGTTTTTCGAGGTGAACTTTTTACTTACCCTTTATTGTAGTAAAGTTAGGTAGTGTGTTGTTACCCTGGGGCTACCCTGGGAGGAACTAGCAGTGTGTTGTTACCCTGGGGCTACCCTGGGAGGAACTAGCAGTGTGTTGTTACCCTGGGGCTACCCTGGGAGGAACTAGCAGAGTGTTGTTACCCTGGGGCTACCCTGGGAGGAACTAGCAGTGTGTTGTTACCCTGGGGCTACCCTGGGAGGAACTAGCAGTGTGTTGTTACCCTGGGGATACCCTGGGAGGAACTAGCAGTGTGTTGTTACCCTGGGGCTACCCTGGGAGGAACTAGCAGTGTGTTGTTACCCTGGGGCTACCCTGGGGAGGAACTAGCAGTGTGTTGTTACCCTGGGGATACCCTGGGAGGAACTAGCAGTGTGTTGTTACCCTGGGCTACCCTGGGAGGAACTAGCAGTGTGTTGTTACCCTGGGGCTACCCTGGGAGGAACTAGCAGTGTGTTGTTACCCTGGGGATACCCTGGGAGGAACTAGCAGTGTGTTGTTACCCTGGGGCTACCCTGGGAGGAACTAGCAGTGTGTTGTTACTCTGGGGCTACCCTGGGAGGAACTAGCAGTGTGTTGTTACCCTGGGGCTACCCTGGGAGGAACTAGCAGTGTGTTGTTACCCTGGGGCTACCCTGGGAGGAACTAGCAGTGTGTTGTTACCCTGGGGCTACCCTGGGAGGAACTAGCAGTGTGTTGTTACCCTGGGGCTACCCTGGGAGGAACTAGCAGTGTGTTGTTACCCTGGGGCTACCCTGGGAGGAACTAGCAGTGTGTTGTTACCCTGGGGCTACCCTGGGAGGAACTAGCAGTGTGTTGTTACTCTGGGGCTACCCTGGGAGGAACTAGCAGTGTGTTGTTACCCTGGGGCTACCCTGGGAGGAACTAGCAGTGTGTTGTTACTCTTGGGCTACCCTGGGAGGAACTAGCAGTGTGTTGTTACCCTGGGGCTACCCTGGGAGGAACTAGCATTGTGTTGTTACCCTGGGGCTACCCTGGGAGGAACTAGCAGTGTGTTGTTACCCTGGGGCTACCCTGGGAGGAACTAGCAGTGTGTTGTTACCCTGGGGCTACCCTGGGAGGAACTAGCAGTGTGTTGTTACCCTGGGGCTACCCTGGGAGAAACTAGCAGTGTGTTGTTACCCTGGGGCTACCCTGGGAGGAACTAGCAGTGTGTTGTTACCCTGGGACTACCCTGGGAGGAACTAGCAGTGTGTTGTTACCCTGGGGCTACCCTGGGAGGAACTAGCAGTGTGTTGTTACCCTGGGGCTACCCTGGGAGGAACTAGCAGTGTGTAGTTACCCTGGGGCTACCCTGGGAGGAACTAGCAGTGTGTTGTTACCCTGGGGCTACCCTGGGAGGAACTAGCAGTATGTTGTTACCCTGGGGCTACCCTGGGAGGAACTAGCAGTATGTTGTTACCCTGGGGCTACCCTGGGAGGAACTAGCAGTGTGTTGTTACCCTGGGCTACCCTGGGAGGAACTAGCAGTGTGTTGTTACCCTGGGGCTACCCTGGGAGAAACTAGCAGTGTGTTGTTACCCTGGGGCTACCCTGGGAGGAACTAGCAGTATGTTGTTACCCTGGGGCTACCCTGGGAGGAACTAGCAGTATGTTGTTACCCTGGGGCTACCCTGGGAGGAACTAGCAGTGTGTTGTTACCCTGGGGCTACCCTGGGAGGAACTAGCAGTGTGTTGATACCCTGGGATGTACTAGCAGTGTGTTGGTACCCTGGGATGTACTAGCAATGTGTTGGTACCCTGGGGCTACCCTGGGAGGAACTAGCAGTATGTTGATACCCTGGGGCTACCCTGGGAGGAACTAGCAGTATGTTGTTACCTTGGGGCTACCCTGGGAGGAACTAGCAGTATGCTGTACCCTGGGATGTACTAGCAATGTGTTGATACCCTGGGATGTACTAGCAGTGTGTTGCTACCCTGGATGTACTAGCAGAGTGTTGGTACCCTGAGATGTACTAGCAATTTGTTGGTACCCTGGGATGCACTAGCAATGTGTTGGTACCCTGGGATGTACTAGCAGTGTGTTGGTACCCTGGGATGTACTAGCAGTGTGTTGGTACCCTGGGATGTACTAGCAGTGTGTTGGTACCCTGGGATGTACTAGCAGTGTGTTGATACCCTGGGATGTACTAGCAGTGTGCTGTACCCTGGGATGTACTAGCAGTGTGCTGTACCCTGGGATGTACTAGCAGTGTGCTGTACCCTGGGATGTACTAGCAATGTGTTGGTACCCTGGGATGTACTAGCAGTGTGCTGTACCCTGGGATGTACTAGCAGTGTGCTGTACCCTGGGATGTACTAGCAGTGTGCTGTACCCTGGGATGTACTAGCAGTGTGCTGTACCCTGGGATGTACTAGCAGTGTGCTGTACCCTGGGATGTACTAGCAGTGTGCTGTACCCTGGGATGTACTAGCAGTGTGCTGTACCCTGGGATGTACTAGCAGTGTGCTGTACCCTGGGATGTACTAGCAATGTGTTGGTACCCTGGGATGTACTAGCAGTGTGCTGTACCCTGGGATGTACTAGCAATGTGTTGGTACCCTGGGATGCTGACGTTTCCTCACATTTCTTGTACATATACAGTGAGAGGTGAGTATATCTCAGTATATACACAATGGGAGGTGAGTATATCTCAAAGTATATACAAGAAGAGATTATTTGAATTCATATTCTAGGTATAACAGTATCCCTCACTTTTTGTGTACAGGATAAACGAGTCTTGTCTGCGAGGTCAGAGGCAGAGCATCAAATCCCATAAGGAGGATCGAGCCTGCAGCACTTCACACATTTATATTTATGACCCCTATGGGTTTACCCCTTCACCATGAATATATATATATATATATATATATATATATATATATATATATATAATATATATATATATATATATTAATAATATTACTCTCTCACTCTCTCTCACTCTCTCTGTTTCTCTCTCAGTCTGCTGTGTACTCAGCCTCGCACTTGCCTCAAGTGACCGCATGTTATTCTTGGCAGTGTTCTCAGAACCTGGCCAGGGTCAACACTCGTTATTTGCTTCAAAATATAGGAGAAAAATCATACAAAAACACATTGGTCTGGGAGAGAAAAATCCTCCTGGGTCAATGTTTTCGTCTTGTTT